GTAACCCCTGCAAAGAAAGATGAACTATCATGGTCAAGTGGCATAATATAATCCAAAAAGACTGTATTCTACATCGTACTTCAGTGAGTAGCAACTGAGATCTTGAAATCTCATGAGTGGCCATCAAAGGTACAACTTTTTTCTCTGTGGAGAAAAGAAGAGTGATGAAAATTGAAAATGATTGGAATAAATTAGACCAATGGACTAATGGGACCCATGAACTCTGGTCTTTACAACTCCAAGACCAGAAGTAGATGGCACCCAGCTACCACTAACAACTGTTCTGAAAGGGATCACATTACAAGGTCCTAGATAGAGTGGGAGAAAATGTGGAACAAAATCCAAAATTATAAACAAAAAAAGACCACATTCTCTGGACAGAAAGAGACAGGAGGAACCTGAGACTGTGACCCTTGATCACCCTTCACGTCTGGAACTGAACTCACTTGCCTGGCTCAATTTTCAACCAAGCAATAGATATGTAGGGGGTATGCATTCATGGGATGGTCCATCATTCAAGATTAAAATGCAAGCATTTACCTAAGGACAAAATCCACAAGGATTGGGGAAGAAGGTGGAATGGAAACAAGAATAACAGGGAGAAAGTAGGATAACTGATGTTACATGGAGGAAGTGAAATCATTAAAATAAAAGGAAGTACATGATTTGTTAAATATAAAACTGATGATCTGATACGTGAATACATTCACAATAAAAAAATTAAAAAAAGAATCGATGACTCAACAAAATGTGGAAATTATCAAATAATATCATCAATGTCACATGCAAGTAAAATTCTGCTAACGATAATTCGAAAACAGGAGCAGTTCGTGGATAGGGAGCTGCCAGGCATTCAAGCTGGAATCAGAAGAGGACCTGACTCAAGGGATATCATTGCTGGTGTCAGAAGGATCTTGGCTGAAGACAGACAATATCAGAAAGATGTTTCTTTGTGCTTTATCAAGTGTGCAAAGGCTTTCAATTGTGTGGATCATAACAAACTACATATAACATTGAGAAGAACAGGATTTTCAGAACACTTAATTGTGCTCATGAAGAACCTGAACACAGACCAAAAGGCAGTCATTAGAACAGAAAAAGGTGATACTAAATGGTTTAAAATCAGGAAAGGCATGCACAAGGGTTCTATCCTTTCACCATATGTATGTATATGATGAGCAAATAATCTGAGAAGCTGGATTATATGAAGAAGAATGTGGCATCAGGATTGGAAGAAGACAATCCTTAACAACCTTTGATATGCAGATGGCAGGCTGGCTTGCTGGAAGTAAACAAAAATCTTCACAACTGGACTAATATATAACATTGTGATAAATGGAGAAACGATCCAAGTTGCCAAAGACTTTAATTTGCTTGGATCTACAATCAATGCTCATGGAAGTAGCAGTCAAGAAATCAAACGACTTATTGCATTAAGCAAATATGCTGCAAAAGTCTTCTTTCAAGTATGGAAGAGCAAAGATGTCAGCTTGAGGACTAAGGTGCACCTACCTGACCCAAGCCGTGGTATTTTCAATAGCCTCATTTGGATATTGAATAAGGAAGACCATAGAACAATCAATGTACTTGAATTATGGTGTCGGTGAAGAATGTTGAAAATGCCATGGACTTCCAGTACAAACAAATATGTCACGGAAGAACTGCATCCAGAATGCTCTTTAGAAGCAAGGATGGCAAGCCTTTGTCTCCAGTTCCTGGAGAAGGAGCTCATGCTTGGAAAAGTGGAGGGTCAACAAAAAAGAGGAAGACTCCCCAATGACATGGTTTGACACCATGGTAGCAATTATGGGCTCAAATATAACAACTGTGAGGATAGCATACACCTGGGCAGTAGTTTGTTCTGTTGTCTCTATAAGTCAGGGCCACCTCGATGGCACCTAACAATACATACATACATACATATTGTTAAGTGCTTTCGAGTCGGTTCTGATTCATAGCAACCCTGCATAGGATTTTCAATGCTTTTTTGTTTTGTTTTTAATCTTTGCGGGAGCAGAAAGCCCCATCTCTCTCCTGTGGAGCGGCTGGTGGGCCTGAACTGCAGACCTTGTGGTTTGTAGTCCAGTGCTTATGGTGGTGTTGGTGGCTGTGTGCCATTGAGTCAAGTCTGACTCATACCGACCCTGCATAGGGTTTCTGAGGCTGTAAATTTTTACAGGAGCAGAAAGCCTCAACTTTCCCCCATGGATCAGCTGGTAGATTTGAACTTCTGACCTTGAGGTTGGTAGCCCCAACTCAACCCACTATACACTACAACACTACAAGGGTTGTCTCTGCGTATGTGGAATGATCAAACGTTGGTGTCGTGATTGATGGAACCCTTAATATGCAGATAAATATAACTTTGTTCAGGATTCTATGCGTATGGAGAAAAAGTTAATTAACACCAGTTGGCTAACTCTGATAAACAGTGAACACCTTTGGGTGGTTCATTGGGTGGAATGGAAAAGGAGTGAGAAGTCAAAAGCAAGGAAAAGAAAAACAAGAGCTGTTTGTTGCTAATTGACAAAAATAAGCATGGAAAATAGAGGAGATATACTAGCTGTAATTTGAGAAGAGTTTAATGAAATAACTATTTACAAAGTGGTGGGATGTGTTCAGGAAAACAAACAAGGATGCCCCCCAAGACTTGTAACAGCAGGAGGCCCCTACCACCACACCTAGGGCTAAAGGGGTCAATCTACAGTGACTGGTAGGGTGGGAGATGTTTTCTTTCTCCCACTCTCCTGCTGGTGTACCCACTGGCCAACCCAACTTGGGGTCAAGGGTCAAGAGAAGCCATTGATGTAGTCACAAAGGCCAGCTGTCCAGGCCTCAGGGAAGGGAAGAGAGGTACGGAAAGCAGTCCTAATGGGATAAATGGATAACATCCAACATAAAAACAACAAACGAAAAGGTGGAACATAAAACCCCACCCACAATTTGACTTTATCTAGGTGAAAATAGGACAGTCACATGGATAAGAAATAAAAGGTTATTTGGGCAAATGAAAGTACTGATCTGTTTTTGTGAAGCTAGCTTCGATTTTGTTTAATTAAATCTAAAAGCTTTTTTTTTTTTCCTTCTTTTTCTTCTATAAAGTAAAATAGAACTGTGCTTAAATTCTGACTCTACCATATACATGTGCTATTTCTCTAGCTTCTCCATCTCTAAACTGGGAATGATAAAAGCATCTGCCTCAAAGGGCTGCTATAAGGATTAAGTAAACTACTAGATCTGAGGCCTTAAAACAGTGCTTGGCACATTGTCGAGTTGACTCTGACTCATGGTGAGCCCCATGTATGTCAGAGTAAAACTGTGCTCCACAGGGACTTCAGTGCTTAATTTTTCAGATGCACTTCACCAGGCCTTCCTTCCAAGGTGAACTTGAAGCTCCAAACTTTCAGCTAGCAGTTAAGCACATTAACTGTTTGCATCACTCATTTTGCTATTATTACAGTAATGATGGGACTTTAAGAGCCTCTTAATGGATAGGCTTCCCTCCCTCCCACCTCGCCAATCCACCCATTAAAGAGTCTGAGAAAGTAGTCTAAAGGACACACATCATCACTCCGCTCTTTTGCTTAAATGTTGTCAGTGTCCTCCAGATAGTTCCGAGCAATATTCACACAGCACGCCTCTCATGACCTCACCTTTGGAGGACTCTCCAGCCTCATCGCTACCTCCTCCACATGTGCTTTCACTCTAGACACACCAATTCCTTCTGGCTCTGCACACGGGCCATGCAATCCCATGTCCCAGCGTCCCTGTTCAAAATGCCTTTTCCATACCATGTCACTTTCCTATTTTACTAACTCTTTAACTACTCATCACTGAAATTTTAAGGGTCATTTCCCCTGAGAATATGTTCTGATCCCCTAGCCCGATTTAGAAACTGCTTCCTCTTCATCCCAGGAAGGCAGTATCACCCCATCCTCTAAATCAGAGTGTATTGATGCTCTCAGGAGCAGTGGGATCCTCAAAGTTAGCGATAATGACTTTCGTCTCTGAACCCTAGTATGGAGCAGAGAACCTACTAGATACTTGATCATGATTTGACTGAGGATTAAATCTATACATGAACAAGTTAAATAACTGACCCCAAATCACTCAGCTAAGTGACAGAGCCAGAATTCAACTCCAGCTCCAAAGGTCACTGCTGTCTCCCAAACATCTGGAAGTTCTAAGGCCACCCCTGATACACTAGAGGAGCTGCATGCCTGAGGGAACTCTCCAGGGGAACTAGACCAGTTCAGGCCAGAATAAGTTGGTCAACAGTGACCCAGAGGACTAAATGCCTCCTTTCTGGGAGTATCAACCACATGACATTTGCTTTGTCAAGGGACTTTCCCAAGCAAATCAATTTCTGGTGCATGTTAAAATGCAAACAAACCACTACCCACCCACCCACTCCTTAAAGACAATTGGTCCAAAGAAATCTCAGAGAATTCAGACAATTCCACAATGTTGAGAGCACCATCTGATAGTGTGAACTTTGTTTTCCCCAACCAAGCATTTTTCTACTGAATTTTTATTTTACATTTGGCTTCACAGTGAAATGTGCTTCCCCATGCTATATTGCTTCAATCACAGCAAACCGGTGTACACAGTCACAGACACACTGGGGAGTCTTAATATTTGCACCATTTAAGATCTGCTCTTGTGGCTTATGATGATGTTACCAGAATCCCTTGAAAACAGTGTTTCTATCTATTTATAACTGTAACCTATTTTCCATATAATTGGATGTGACCAAGGCTGAAAAAAATTCAGCTGCATAAGAAAAGTCTTGCTCTTACAGAGCAGATGTTTACTGGGCCTGGAAAATAAAGTTGCCTTTAGCACCAATACCCAGAACCACAGAAACGTTTTTCCCCAATGCACTGATTTCATATTACATCAAAAAACAATTTTAAAATAAAGGATGCTAAAAATGCAAAGGAGACAGTCACAATGGTTTGAAAAATAGGTATTAATTTTACCTCTACATTGTCCAATACTGTTTCCCATTCGACCACTGGATTTGTTCTCCAGTTCAGGGCAGCAAAAAATGAATCATAATTTATTTGTTTTTCACTGTCTTCAAACCTGGAAATATAATGATATGATTTGACTCAACCTTCAGGACCAAAATATCAACTTAAATTTTACCATAAAAACCTAATACTCAGTACTATCTCTATAGCTGATACCTTTTCTTATTTATTTTTAGTTTATTATCTGTTTTTTACCTTCTAGAAGGTAAACTCTTTGAGAGCAGGGATCTTACCTACCTAATTCACCAAAGTATCCCAAGCACCTAGATCAGGGTTTGCACTTAGTAGGTGGTGTTCAATAAATATTAGTTGTAGTTGTCATAGAAACAGATAACTTACTCAGTAACTAAAATCCTTTTCATATTTTGTTAAAAAATATTTGAGGGTCCCTTTAGTTTAGTGGGCCCTGATGGCACAGTGGTTAAAACAATTGGCAGCTAACCAAAAGGTTGGTGGTTCAAATCTACCAGCCATTCCATGGAAGAAAGATGTGGCAGTGTGCTTTGTAAGGATTCCCCAATGCCATCAAATGGATTCTGACTCATGCGACCCTGCAGGACAGGGCTTCTGAGACCATAAGTCTTTGTGGGAGAAAACAACTCCATCTCTCATTGTGGTAGGTTTGAACCACCGGCCTTGTGACAGCACTCACTACATGCGCAACCTATGGGCAATTCTACCCTGTCTTATAGAGTTGCTACAAATCAGAATCAACTCGACGGCAGTGGATAATCTTTACAAAGCAGACTACTACATCTTTATTCTAAGGAATGGCTGGTAGATTTAAACTACTGATCTTTTGGGTAGCTGCCAAGTATTTTAACCACTGTGCCAAGAGTGGTTAAACTATGAGCTGGAATCAACTTGATGGCAGTGGGTTTGGTTTGGGGTTTGATGGTTTTAGTTTAATATCATTGCTATTATACGTCAGTCAAATAAAATGTCCTAATATCCTGATGTGGCACTGTAGGATCAGCACTGGACTGCGAACCACAAGGCTGGCAGTTCAAATGACCAATTGCTCCTTGGAAACTCAATACAGGGTTGCTATGAGTCAGAATTGACTTGACGGCACTTAACAACAGCATTTTTTACATTGCATGCCTTTTAAATCTTAAAGGTAAGCCTAGATTCATTTCTAGATTCATTTTGTCTACTACTATATTTACAGTACTGGTAGCGTAGTGTGAGATAACAAGATAGTTAGTAAGTGAGGAGTAGGTATTGTTGTTAGGTGTCACTGAGTCAGTTCCAACTCATAGCAACCCTACACACATCAGAACAAAACACTGCCTGGATCTGCACTATCCACACAATTGTTGTTACGTTTCAGCCCACTGCTGTTGCCACTATGTCAATCCATCTTGTTAGTGGTCTTCCAGTTGTCCTACTCTACGACTGGTCCTTCCCAATAATGTGTTCAACATATGAGAGAGGAACTTGGAGTAGTTGGAGGTGTTGTTCCTAATAATCTGAGCAGGAGCTCAACTAGCGCCTTTGACTTTGATTTTAAGGAAAATGAAGAGGCACCAGAACATATTGTATAGAGAAGTTATGGAACCTACCTTAGATTTTCTAAAGATTCCTCTAGCTGACACATTGAGAATAGAATGTATGGGACAACGCAGAAGTGGTTAGGGTAGTTAGCAGTCTTTCGTAGTAATACAGACAAGAGATAACGGAGGCACAGACAAATGTAGTGGCAATGGAGGGTAGTGGGTTCTAAATATGTTTTGAATGTAGAACAAACAGGATTCCTAAAGAATGGTACATAGTGCATGAGAGAGAGTGTTAGGATGGCTCCAAGGCTTTTGCTTGAGTAACTGGAAAGATGGAACTACCTTAACTGGGATGGGAAAGACTGTGGGAGGATCAGATCTTTAAAGAGATGAAACAACAGGCATTTACAATATGCTATGTTTCAATGGGAAGTGAGCAGTTGGATATATTGAGTCTGAAGCTCAGAGAAAAGAGCTGAAAATATAAATATGAGAGTCATTAGCACATCTGTTGTTGTTGTTGTTAGGTGCCATCAAGTTGGCAGTGACTCATAGAGACCTTATGCACAGCAGAACGAAACAATGGCCAATCCTGGGCCAACCTCACTACTTTTGCCACGCTTGAGTCCATCGATGCTGCCACCTGGCCAATCCATCTTGTTGGGGGTCTTCCTCTTTTACTCTGACCCTCTATTTTACCAAACATGATATCGTTCTCCAGCGACTATTCCCTCCTGACAATATGTCCAAAGTATGAGAGACAAAGTTTGGCCATCTTGGCCTCTAAGGAGCACTCTGGCTGCACTTCTTCCAAAACGGATCTATTGGTTCTTTTGGCAGCTCATGGCACTTTTAGTATTCTCCTCCAACACCATAACTCAAAGGCATCAATTCTTCTAGTCTTCCTTATTAGCTGTCCAGCTTTCACATGCATATGAGGTTACTGAAAATACCATGGCTTGGGTCAGGTGCACCTTAGTCCTCAAGCTGACATCTTTGCTCTTCAACTCTTTAAAAAGTTCTTGTGCAGCAGATTTGCCTAATGCAATATGTCATCTGATCTCTTAACTGCTGCTTCCATGAGTGCTGATAGTTGATCCAAGAAGAATGAAGTCCTTGACAACTTCAATCTTTTCTCCGTTGATAAGGATGTTGTTTATTGGTGAAAGTGAAGAGGACTTAAAACATTAGCACATAGATGGTATTTAAAGCCATATGACTAATTGAGATCACCATGAAATAAGTTTCTTTATCTGTTCCTACTAACTGTCAGGAAATTCCCATTACATCAATCACAGAGGGAACTTATTTAATTCTGGAGGTTTCAGAAGTTTAATAGCCATTCAAATGTAGGACTACATCATGCTTCACCCCTGATAACAATCCACTCACTGGTCCTGTGGATTCTACGATCAGAGTGTAACACAAGTCTTTTTCTCTCCATCTTCCTATGGTGGTTTTTATTAGCTGCCGACAAGTTGGCTCCAACTCATCGTGACCTCATGTACAACAGAAGAAAATGCTTCCAGGGCCTTTACCATCATTACTATCATTGGTATAGTCAAGTCGACTGTGTATTTTGAGTGTTCTCCAACACAGGGGCTTCATCTCACAGCGTTTCAACAGACAATATTCTTTTGTAATCAGCAGGCTTTTCATTGGCTAAGTTTTGGAAGGAGTGCGCCAGTCCTTTCTTCTTGCCTTAGTCTGAAAGCTCTGTAGAAACTGGACTACCCTGGGTGACTCAGCTGGTATTTGAGATTCCAGTGGTATAGCTTTCAATATCATGACGGTATGCAAGCCACAACAGTATAACAAACTGATAGATGAGTGGTGGTTATCTCTTCTACAACTCCCTAATTCTAAATCACTATCATCCATCACCTGGATTACATGAATATCTTCCTATCTTGGTCTCTCTGCTCCTAGTCTTTCCTTGCTACAGATCATTCATCCCTGAAGTGATCAGATCACCCAGTTCCTTTCTTGAAATCCTCCAATGGTGTCCCCAAACCCCAAAAACCCACTCCCATTAAGTTGGTTCTGACTCATGGTGACCCTGTATAGGGTTTCTGGGACTGTAAATCTTTACAGGAGCAGACCGTTTAATCCTTCTCCCATAGAATAGCTGGTGGGTTTGAACTGTTAACATTGTGGCTAGCAATCCGGGGATTATCGTACAATGCCACCAGGCTTACTGGTACATGTAAAACACAAACTGAGAGGACCCTGGGCACTCGGGCCCTGTCGACCTCTCTAACCTCATCATAAAACTCTGCCCATACACAACATTTCAGCCACACTGTCTTTTGTGACTGTCCTTGTTCCAAGTTGCTCCAAAAAATTCAAGGCATTTGGGTTTTCTGCACCTTTTGTCTATACATTTTTTATTTAAATGTCAGTTTCTCAGTCAGACCTTCCTGAAGTTCCTTTTATCTAACTAAGTCCCTGTGAATAACTTTGCATTTGTCCTAGATGGCTTTGGAACTTACAGGAAAATTTCTGAAGGCACTAAAACATCCTATTATTTTCTAGAAGTCACTAAAAAGTCCTGTTATTGAACCTTGTTGCCAAGTCTGATATTTACCCATGCTTGCCTTTTACCCCTACCTTTAGCCTTCCCTGCCCAGCTCCTGACATGCCAGACTCAACACATTATCCATTCATCCATTTGTTGTTGTTGTTACCTACCCTGCTGTTCTGATTCATAGTGACCCTGTGTTGTAGGGTTTCTGAGGAGCAGCGGGTGGGTTTGAACCACCAACCTTGTGGTTAGGCAATCCAGTGCTTATCCTACAGCATCACACCAGGGCTCCATGTTCCCATTTAGAAGTATCATAAATGGAATGAAATGATATTGTGGAAGGATCAAAAGATGTAATTTAAAACGTACACAGCTCAGAAATGATGTATAACAATGTTTTGGGGAAAAAACCAAAATGTTTGAAAGATTTCACCTTTCCAGAGAGCCAAGCTGGCCTCAGAGAAGAGTTGAGCTACTATGCTAAAATACTCCAATTTTTTATTTCTGGTTCTGTCTCAGAGGATCTTAATGGATGTGAGAAACCTCCCCAAGGGGAGCCAGGAGGAAAAGAACAAAGAATCTTTGAATAAAAAGGGACAAAGCAAGGTGAATCTTCTTAAAAGAATTCTTTGCTATAGGGAAGTGCATAGAGTTGCAGTAAATCATGATGGATTTATTACAAATATTTATCTCCCCTTTCTCCCAAAATTCAATCAAAATGACAGCAGTGGTGGTATGCCGTGGAGTCAGTTCCGACTCATGTCTAGGGTTTCTGAGGCTGTAAATCTTTATGTGAGCAGAAAGCCTCATCTTTCTCGTGGAACAAGCTGGTAGTTTCAAACTGTTGACCTTGAGGTTAGCAGCCCAATTTGTAACCACTACATTGTTGTTATTGTTAAGTACCGTGGAGTCGGTTCAGACTCATAGTGACCCTGCACAGGGTTTCCGAGGCTGTAAATCTTTACGGGAGCAAAACACCTCATCTTTCTCCCACGGAACTGCTGGTAGTTTCGAACTGCTGACCTTGCG